GAACCGCTAAATGGCAGAATATTTTTTTGTGTGATATATATATTTTGTTCTTGTTTCTGTTAGTTAGTGACATATTATATGTTGGTAACACTCATTACATTTCGCTCTACTCTGTTGAGAAAAAAAGATTGAAGTGCATCGAAACTAACTATAGTGCATCGAAACTAACTAGATCTATAAAAGTGATAACTCTACACGTTTTATGTATAAAATTAAAATGTACATAATTGAATAAAAACTATTATTTTATAATTATTGCAACTATAAAGTAGTTTATTCAACTACATATACATCATAATTTTACATATAAAGCTTGTATAGTTGTCATCTTTATGGTTTTGCTAGTACCATGTCTTTTTCTTTGAGTAAAGAGAGGGATTACAGGTGTCTCCTAAACACAAGCAAAAATATTATAAATTGGTTCCTAAAGTAGTAAATTTTTTAAAGAGACACTTTTTAAGAGAGATTATCCTCTCGGAAAGAATGTTTTTTATTAATCTCGCTCGATTTTATGCTTTGTAAATCAATTCTCTGATTATGTTACGAAATATATAGTAAGATAAATATAATATAATATCAAATAAAATATAATATCAACTATAAAGATAAATCTATGACATTTAATTTGTAGAGTAGAGCTCCTGGATTTTTTAAAGTGTGTGACATGATTTCGAGCTGATTCAATAAAGGTTATTGCTTTTAAATCCTTCCGTACAAATAGGCCTTTATAATAGGATATACGTTCCTCCAAAAATTGTGTCTGTGCCCCTCGCAGAATTCCATGTAGAAGGAGCTCGATTCGTGGTCACGGAAATCGCGAAATACGAACAACTCTCTCTGGTGCGACGTGAAATAACGCGGCCTGTAGCGGGGTTGACGGGGACCACGAGGGGAGTTGAGGGTACCCGAGGGGGGCCGATCACGGTGGTAGTCGCGCCGGGCCGAGAGCGGCAAAGGAGAGGGACGCTACGACGGCGGCGGCGGAGGGGTGGGCCCGGCCAAAGCAAATTATTCACACTCAAACGACTCCATTTCAATATCGGGCCGAAGCCCAGGGACAAAAGAAGGGCGAGATGCCTGTCTCCCTCCTGCTTTCGCTTTGCGCCGCACTGCTGCTGCTGCTGCTGCTGCTGCTGCTGGCTGCTCGCCGCTGCCCGCCGCTGCTCTGGTGGTACCTCTGTCTGCAGCCTGCAGGCTTAACTCTCTTTTCCTCTCTCGCTCTGCATTTTCTCCCTCTATCGTGACCCTTTTCTCTCTCGATCTCTTTTTTCCTCTTTTTGGCTCTCTCTCTCTCTCTCTCTCTCTCTCTCTCTCTCTCTCTCTCTCTCTCTCTCTCTTTCTCTTGTTGCTCTTGCTGCATCCTATGTTCTTTTCTATTCTTGCTCTATCATCTAACCCTGACGGAAAACACTGAAAAATATCGCGGAATCGCGATCTTCTGATTTTTCGTGTCGAGAACTTTCGCGAGCTTTGATTCTGTCTCTCGATGATTATCGTGTATACCTATATAGTATTCAACAGTACATTGTTAGAAATATATATGACAACACTATCGAATGCGTTATTTCAACATACGTATCTTTCATAAAGCTTTTCAGAGTGTAAAATGTGTTTTGTGGAATTCTCATACCAATCTATTAGAAGAAGCGATCTCATTTCTCTTACATTATTCGAAATGCAATCAATGCGGACTACGGCATGTGTGTTGCGTACAGAACATTATTCGATCACATATACATATCCATATGTACGTGCTTCATTAAAATTCAGTCGTTCGTATACGACTATCTTGCTTTGAAACTTGGTTTAAAGCGTCATCGTCCGTTGTATTATACGGAAATCTTGTATTTAACATATTGCTAAATACTATCATTATAAATATATTAAATATATGCAATATAATAATTATTATATATAAATATATATATAAATACAATATATATCATAAATATATTACATTAAAATTTTCTCTCTACAATTAATATTGATAATAAATGCAATTGGCACGTTTTATAATCATCCAATAATAAGAGAGCGCATATTTCAACGAGATGAACTCGTAAACCATCGAGCAATTTGCCGAAGAGATTTCCAGCACGCGAATTCGTGTTCTTAAAAAAGTATCGAAATAGCAGTCGAAAAGTCGGGACTTTGGTTATACGAGCGTATGAAAATAGAAAGACACGAGAGAGTGGCAAGAAAGAGAGACGAAGAAAGAGGACGCCGCACGCAGATTTGAGTCCCGTAATTGAATATATTTAAGCGCGGGAGGGACGTTTGTGCGGATTCTCGGCTTACAAGAACCCCATGCCGAGGTAACGTCTGCGAGTAAACTGGATTAATCGTCTATGAAGGAAGACCGTAACCCCGCCACATTTGTTTGCAATCAGATCCCTCCAGAGAACGCGAAACAACATCGTTCGTTGTAGCGCGCGGTCTTGTTTCCACTGCAATTTTACACCGATCATCGGCAAACAGATAGGGAGAGATCATCGGGTCGCAGACGTGCTGAAATGCTCCATATTTAAGATGAATCAACAACGTTTCGATGAGAACAATGCAACGGGAAAAATATGTAGCGAGCATAAAATACGTTCATCTTTTCTGAAATTTTTTACAATGTTATTTATGAATGATAAACC